GCAATTGATGTAAACTATCGCTTAACATATATGATGTTGTTAGTTTTTCCAAATTTTGCTTTGTCGAGAAATTAACCTCCTGCCGGCCTACTTGGTAATGTATGAATTGAAAACTGCGTTTCCCCGCGAGGGAAACTCTAGGCCACCTCCGGTATGCAGTATCTTGAATCAGTTTACATTTTAGTGCATTCAAAATAATGTCGAGAAGTTCATGGATAGTTTTGCGCCCGCAACCAGGCTTATATACTCCTACTGTAAGTACCTATGTTTTGTATTTTGACTCGTGTTTAACTTCATACTCCATTTATGTCGGTAGATTTTGACAGCGCTTTTCCCTTTGATGGCTACTACGAATATCCTTTCATATATGAAACGGACACAATTTACCGAGACCCATATTTCTTGCAATCTATCATATGCATCATTTTTTTCACTACAAACTTCAAAGGGCGGGAACTGTTCCTATGTTCGCATCACCAGCATAAGAACTAGTGGAACTAGCGGTTGCACAAACACAAGCTCAGAAAAGCCTGTCAATTTTGATTGCCACCTACTACCACCTCTCCGTATAGAAAAATACATACTTATTAAATTTAGCCGATTACGTCCCAGATACAGATAGCATCATTAAAGCCCTAAAAATATGGTGATGGCATTCAAGTTCCCTTACTCATTAAATTGTATAGCTAGGCAGACAGTGTGATTGATATCTGCTAACATGACTGCGTTCATGTCATGGCGTCTTCTCACCAAATCTCTGTTGATAAAGTAGGCCAAAATGGAAGATCTACAAGAATCCGGTCAATACTCTCAGTAATAAACAAAAAAGAAATCCTCCCCATATTCGCACTTATGTTAACAGGAGGTTTGCGGAATTAAACTTTGCGAAAACCAGTTTACCCCCTGTCAGAACATTTTAAAATCCATAGGCATTCCGTTGAACCGCAAGCCGAGGCCTTAGACTTAACAGAGGAATATAACTATAATTAGAATTATGATCCGTAGCCCATAATTCTTCCATGGAAGAATTTTCATGTTCCTTATCAGAAATATTTACACGCCACTCATCCATTGATGCTATATGTGGACTGCTTTGAATACGAATGTTTGGAATTCCGGAGTATTTTTTTATATTTTAATATAATCCAGTTATTCATATTCTTAGATAATGAGTTTGGGTTTCATGATAATTTAAGGAGATATGACCAATTCAAACAAATTTATTATTCTACTGAGGGTTCGAAGACCTCTGTTAGCTCACCACTATCAAATTGTTACATGCACCAAGACGAGCAGGAGTTCAAATGGCTTGCTGAACTGGTTGGCTCTGAGGTCGATTTTGTACTCTTGTCCTATCCATTTTTAACTTTTTCTGACGGGTTTGACCATTGCTTCGTAATTAGCCACACACTCAATGGACGGCGGGGATCTTCTCTGAGGATTTTCGGTCTTTTGGCTCTCCTTCCCTTCCGTTGGACGACATTGTTATTGGGCAGTTTTTATTCGCTTTTCCTAAGTTCAGTGTGGCTACCTTGACCTGTCCTTTTTATGTGTACTGAAATAAGATTTTGTAAGCCGGAGGTAGGTCAATATGTCTGTTGGTGGAGTCGGCATCTGAAACGACGTCCTTGGTTTGAGTAGCTCTGTGTTTGAATGGCTTCGGCCTAGGATCTCCCCTCTAACGTAAAAAGTAAATTCACTGTCTCCAATGTGCACTGCCGACTACAGGTTTAGATCTGACGTCGAAGTTGTCAATTTATGCCAAAATACCAAGATAATAAGGCAAGTCTTTGGGACTTCTGCTCGTCTTGGTATATGCAGCGCTTTGATAATGGTAATCTGACCAAAGTCTCCGAAAACACAGTAACATATTTAGTCTGTTCTGGTTAGTCGCTTCTCTTTTCAAGTTTCTCTGTCCTCCATAAACATGCTAAACATTCTATATGGTTGGGAATACTTACTCTGTCGCTTCCAAGTACGTTGCACTCACCACTATTTCGCGTATTGGAAGTTTCTCCTAATCTACCGCACTTAAAATGGCGTAATTAGAGAGTGAACATTTCTCTTCTGCAAACACCAGATAATACTGTTATCCCGAAACCTTTTGCACCCATGTTTTTTTTAACAGCATTTGACTTTTCGGCCCGCATACCCTCCTCCCATCCCCACGGAGTAAATGCGAAAATCCTAGATGACTTGTACAGCTAGCTACAATTAATTTTCACAGAAAATCTTTTTGGCGTCTTCGGTTTATTTTTACTGATTTTGTTAGTTTATTTTGATCGCTTTTGAAGGGCATTGCGACAGTTTCAGTGTACATGTTTTGAGATAGTTCTCATCTTAGAGCCTGGAGAATTCTTAACCGAATTACTTGCATATGTATAGCTTATAAATATTCCCCCTCTTTCCAGAGGGCGTCCGGTGAATACTGTAGAAAATTTGGGGCGGTTCGAGTGGTCACATCAGAATTTTAAACCTCCTAGAATATGCGATAGTTTTCGAAAATACCCGACAATGCCGGCAGCATCCTCACAGAAAATACTTCAGATTAGTCCGCATGATGGAAGCAGCCTAAGTGACGAAACCACCTTTTACAAGAGGTCGGAATGAATTTATTTTTCAGAACACAATGCATAGGAGCACAATAAAACATACTTTTATCAATAATTTGTCCCTGATATTAAGTATAATGCTCACATACGTGAACAAATTTCTTAGACCCATTTATGTCTGCCACATATTCTGCTAATTGTCAATTTAACTCCGTATTGAACTCCTGACATCTACGAGCATGTCGCTTTTAAGGACCTTTGCAAGTCACCACGGTCCATCTGTTTTGTAGTTGCTCGAACGCTCAGACGTAATGAATTGGGACGCTATCCCTGTGCAACAGCTCACTTCTAGCCTACCTCATTTTTTGAATGTTTGATAAAAAAAGTTTAAATTTAGATCCTGCCTGATTCATTTAAATTGACAACTGTATCGCACCTTTCGCTTACCAAACCCATCCACTTTATGGTAATATCAGCTGCGCTATATGATTGTGTTTTAAAATTCGTCTGAAATCTGACCGCAATTGTTGCTGTTGACATGCGACACATGGTCGTTTGTTGCCC